ATTCTAAATTTTAGAATATTAATACTTTATGTCAATAATAATTAATCAAGTAATAAAGATTTACTATAATTTTATTCAGAAAATTTATATACGTTAAAAAGAAGTTACCAACTTATTTTTACATCCAAATAAGATCTTTTGACTTATAAACTACCAGAACGCAATATTGTTACAACACAATCCAACATTCTTAGAAAAAGCATTCTGTTCTTTATTAAGGCTGATGTTTTTCTTCTGCGAACTTTCCAATCTCGTACAAAGTAGTGAACTCGAAAATAAGTTTCCTATTGAAGTGCAAATTCTTTTTGCGGATTTGTTGCCGAAAAAGGTTATTTAAACCCTTCGACTTTGGGATCAACGAGCTTTTTATAAGCAAGGTGATGTATAGACAGGTGTAGAAGAAAAATGTTCATGGTTTTGAGAATGTGCTTCGAACAACTTTTCATTGAGTTTGGCATTACTTAGATGGTAGGTAAAGGTGTGTTTTCAAAACTTGGCGCATTTTTGTTAAAACCAGGAAAAATCGAAAAAATGAAAGTGAAGGCTGTTACACAAAGCCTTTACATGAATAATAAACTATATAATTTTTTGTACCCGTTTAAAATATTCTTTTTTATCTAACTCACCAAATAAATTTGTTGAAATTGTTTTAAGCATTAAACATTTTACCATCTTCAAGATAAGGGGCTATTTAATTTTTAAAAGCAACTTAATTCAAATAAACTTTCATAATATATTTAGTATCGTTTAATCTTAGACTATATACAATTGTTTACAAATTTTAGCAATACCAAATTACATTTCTAACATACAAAATAAATGAAATCCGCATCCTATGAAATCGTTATCACCATCGTGTCTCGGCAGATGGGTGAGTAAATATAAATTCCAGATGTCTTTGTACCGCAAAACCTGGTATATAGAACTTCATTTGCTACAAATATCTCTCAGAAATTCTATAACATATACGTATTTACAGTAATTCATTTCTGACAAGAAGCTCTAGATCTAGTCTTCTCTCGTGAGACACATCGCGCACGGAACGAAGTAGAAACAATAACTTTGCTCCGAAGAATGAAGGAGATACCGCGAGCTTCACAAGTAAATTTTAAACAAAAAAATTACACTTGGGTTATATAGATTGCTTCATTTAATGAATTAATTGAGCGAAACATCGAATTACTTAATCATTTTATAACAAACCTTATCACTAACACTATTTACAAATAAAAAAATCTTCCAGGAACTGTTACTTTCATTTGTTTATGATTTAACGAGGTCAGATTCTGTATTCGAAGTAATCAGATAATTTTCCGGTATCAAAGTTCAGATATGTTTGTATTAACACGCTCTGACAAAGTTTATACATGAAAGCTTACATCAAATCCTTGTATCTTACGTTACGACAATTTGATCGCAAAACTGAACAAAACTTTGTGTAATAGATACATAATATGTGCACGAAGTCCTGCGAGTTTACTGCAAGTTTATGCAAATATGTTTCAATTAGAATAATAAATGATAAAGATAATCAGAATTGCTAACTAGAATTTCAGAATATTAATATTTATAAGCAAGTTGCTGGTAAAAATCAATAATCATAAAATTAACAAAAAATCCAGTAAGAAATGACAATGTGCAGTGGCAATAACTAAAAAAAGAAAACAAATTATTGCCTATATAGTGAGGATTTCATATAGTATGATGTGTTTTTTATCAATGTAGCTTATTTTTCTAGTTTTATCCAACAAAATCCAAAGATGCACGATATGGCACAAAGAAATTCTGAGATTGAATGGCATCAAATACATCAATTCCTAATATGGTAATGTATTTATTATTGAAGGCTTGATATAACAGATATAAATAAATCTCCTCAAATATTCATTTATGTTTACCAAGTAATTAATTTTGAATAATTTTTTACCTACATTGTTTCCAACGTATCCTTCAGCACAACGATTTCTTCAGTTAAAAAATGCAACCTTCAAATTACCCAAGAACAAACAACTAACAAAAGTTTAATTCCTTACAATGAAACGAATCAAACCCGGCGCCTGTTAAGCGCAGATTGAAACAAAAGGGCGGCATTAAATTAAATTACGCCCTAAGAATTATGAAAGAACCAAAGAGAATAAGAAGATTATTATGAGAAAATTACATCAATATAGAAGCAAGAGAAAATTATTAAAATTAGAAAAGAATCTCCGGCTGTACATCATTGTTCTTTAACGATTATTTATGACTCGGGGGATGGACGGATGGCGCGTTAGATTTGAATTTCAAATTTTGCAAGGATTATTTACAACTCTCTTGAGAAAATAAGAACTTTGGTAATAAATAATAAATAATGTAATTATTTGAATAACTCAGAGCATTTAAATTTAACTACCAGATTCTACACTGTGCCATATATATGGGAGATAGGGGCTTATTTTAAAAGGGGTAAGTAGTAATGGACGTTTTCCAACAGATTTTAATATATTCTACTTGATTTAGTAGAAGGATAGTTATAGCATATATTCATTTTTATTTCTTAGAAATATAAGCAGTGGATCTCAAGATACGGTACGTTACTCGTTAATAATTAATAAAGATTTATCAGTACGTTAAAGTTTAGGCATAGGACATGGCTGTACGTAGGTACAGTCATGCCCTCGCACTTGTAATCATAATTATATAAATTAAATAAGATGAAAGTGCCTTCTGTTTTATATCGCGTAGTTAGTTGGTTTAGTTTTATAGGTAATTACAGGGTGTTTATAGAAGTTGGGTTAAGGAGTTGGAGTAACCTTTTGTAATGAGGATGCAATGCTAAGATATAATATTTGGCAGTTGCTGCACTACCCTGAGAAAGGGGCGTCAAGCTTTCACTCGTCACAATATTAATTTAAAAACTGCTACAAGCTCCTGGGACTACATATATTAGGATGTACAACAAATTTTTTTTATCCAAAGTGTATGCGAGTATAATTCAATGTAAGCCTAACGTATATATCCATATTATTTTTTTCATAAATCGTGAGTTTTTAACATGGAACTTTGCGTTAAAAAGTACGGAACTTCTGGAGTTGAAAGATAAGTACTTTCAGAATCTCAAGGATGATATTAGAAAGTAGTTTGATATATGTTGGCAATGGTCAGTTAATATCAGTCGATCATGAAGTATCGAATCGAATCAATAAACGCAGCGACGCGTCAGTGTCGTCTCCCGTAGTGCAACGTTGTTTCACATACTTATCGGAAGTATTCGACGAAGCAGGAAAATCCTTTGACTAGTACTCCATTCAGACAAACCATAAAAAATTCGATATACTGAAAGCAAAAAAAAGTAGAA